AGGACAGCCTCGACGTGGACACTCTGCTGGAGCGGGCGGAGGAGCGGCGCCGTCGCCAGAAGGTGACCTCCACCTCGGTGGGAAAGGACTGGCCGCCCTTTGACCGCTGCGACTACCTCAGCTCTCGGACGGTGGACGAGCTGTGCCACGCCGACCGGAAGGGCGTCAGGGCGCGCCTGCTGGGCAGTCTGACGCTGCGCAGCTGTCGTCGCTTTGCAGTGGACCGGGCGCTCAGCCCCGAGCTGTACCGGGCGGTGGTGAACCACACCGACTGCGGCCGCATCCTCCGCGAGCTCCTCGTCCTCGACGACCTGGTGGAGAAGTTGGCCTGTGAGTTCGAGGCCATCCTCATGCGATACGACTGCGCCGCAGAGTGGTCCCGCTGGAGGTGTNTATGTTTGTGTTTGGCTGATTAGACACTAAGAAATACTCTTTGCTGCAGATGGCCTACCGCGACTGGCTCTGCTCGACCCTCATTCCGTACTACCTGAAGCCGGGCGGCGCCCAGGAGGTGACCAAGCCCTGTCAGAGCATCTGCGAGCAGGTCGAGCAGAAGTGTCCCCACCTGCATCCCTACGGCAAGGGACAGTACGCCGGGGAGCCGGTCTTCCTCTGCATCGGTAAAAAAGAGGAGGAGCAAAAGACACACTTTCTAACTTAATAATCATTTTTTGTGTTCATTACCCCCAGACGCGAACATTCCCTTCAACGAGCAGATCACACCGAACACGCCGTACGGCGAGCCGGGCAAGTGCTACGACCTCTGCGACCTGGAGAAGTGCCAAAATGATGTCGGAGAGAAGCCGACGCTCACCTGCTGGCAGCAGCAAATTGAGGAGGCGGTGGCAGCTGCTGCTGCTGCTGCTGCATCGACCACTACCACAACTACCACACCCACCACCTTATCACCAGCAGCAAATGGTAATCAGACAAACGCCGAGGGAAAACTTATCAACGGTACGGCGAACACCGTTACAATGGCCACTGATGAAGGAGAAAAAGAAGGAGAAGGTCATGTTGTAGCGGCGCCTTTTTCCACAGTGACTCCCAACATTTCTTCTGATGATCAACAACAAACTTCCAAAAAAGGTAAAAAGAGGCACAATGTCTCACAGGGCCTGGACGGCAACTCCGAAGCAGTGATCACGGCTAAACCTAATGGCATTGGAGGGGCTGCTCTGGATGACCAGTCGACGACGGTGACCTCATTTGGCGGGTGGAACACCGAAGATGAAGCCTACTACCAAATACTGCAGGCCAGTGACAGTGATCGAAGGAGAGGCCAAAAGATGCTGAGGACATCCTCGGGACAGGGACAGCAATACCAGCTGGAAATGGAGTCCAACTACCTTCTTAGCGAGGGAAAAGCAAAAGTCGCCGACTTTAAAAACCTCGACTCTGCGTACGAGGTGACAGAGGGCACTTCCACGCCCCCCTCTTCCTCTTCCTTTTCCCCCTCCAGCTACCAGGCCAGTCTGCAGGAGATCTACCGCGAGGCAATGTCTGCCGTGACCACCGTCGACTCGATGGCCAGAGCCGATGATCCGCTGAATGAGATTGAGCTGCCCGAGGAGGACATTGCCGAAGAGTGGATTCACGCGTCCGATGTGGCCGCCAGCTCGGACAATCAACAACTGCAGCAGCAGCAACAGCAGTCCACTACTTCCGCTTCATCCTCTTCTTCTTCTTCTTCAGTTTCTTCATCCTCTTTTTCCTCTTCTTCCACCTCATCGCCTCTTCCATTTGAGCCTTTTCTGGAGCAGTCACTGACAGCCGGAATTGAGCCCACAGACACAAAAAGTAGCTCCAAAAGTGAGCACCGCAATCGAAACAACCTTTTGAAGGTGAGCACTACTTCAGCACCAGTGGCAGCTAGCACTACATTCTCCTCGTCCTCATCCTCTTCGACCTCAACCAACGCCACGACCACTGCCAATTTGCCAACTGATAAGATCAGTGTTGAAAGTGGCCTAATACCTTCGGGAAAAGCAGTGGAAGGCAGTGGCAGCCAAGTCAATGGACGTCAGTTTCGACATCACAACAGTCGAAGCAAACAACAACAACAGCAACAGCAAACGGGTGAACAGAAGTTGACTGCTAAAGGCGGTCACAAACAGCAGCAACAGTCACAGCTGGCACAAAAAAAGAAGGAACAGGATGAAAGTGTTCAGCAGCAGCAAAGGTCATCTCAGCAGTCAAAGTCATCAAACTCACCCACAGCATTAGCTTACTCTTTTCAATCACCAAGCAAAGCGAGGTTTTCTCAAGTAA